GTGCTTTCAGAAGTGGATTCGCTATATTGTTATTAGAGGTTGCTCTTTTCAAGGCTGCCAGTGCATGGGCTAATGAGATGTTCYGAGCTGGAAAAAGTCTCAAACCCCTCCCTGCCTGGGTGATGGAACTACTATGATCTCAGGGTCTTCTTTTTTTGTTTAATCGTTGGGTTTTTTTTGTAAGGCTCCTAAGTGGACTGCTTGCACAGAATGAGGCTCACATCTCTTCTCCACGGCCTGTGAGGATCCAGGAAAAGGGTTCATTTGATTCCCACACAAGGAGGCAGCAGGAGAAGGTAATTTCATTGACTTTTACAAATTAGTTTTTTTTCTTTCCTCCTTACACACTTGGAATCCTCTCTGGACCTGACGTAAGGCCTTGGCCCCTCTTGTTGCCTTATGGTGCCTTCTAACACGGCCCCAGCAGGTGACCCTGCTTTGCACAGTACATTCTTGCATTCCATTGCAAGTCCTTCCAGCTCCAAGCTTCCCTCTCCTCCGCGCAGCTACAACAGCAACAGGCACAGACGAAGACCCAGAGGGCAGGTCCACAAGGGGCATGTGAAGAAAGATGTCTGGCTTTGGACACACCACCCTGCTTCAAACACTCCTATCTTACAAACGCAGCTTCCTGAGCAGGCGGTCTGCAGCGTCTCGCTGTTTATCCGAGTGAATGAGTGGGTGGCAGAGAACCCAGCAACAAGCTGAGATTTGCCCTGCACGCTGGGCCTGGCGCTGTCGCGGCCGAAGGGCGGCTGCTTCCCGCTCACACCTCAGCAACGCGCTCGTCCCTGCCAGGCCGCGGGGGCGCAGCCCGCCACGCACACCGCGTTTGCTGCTGCCGTCTCAAAAACAGACTGCTCTGTGCAGTGAAGGACTGCTAGGCGTTTGAACTGCAATTTTCAGACTCTCTCTACATATATATGTGTGTGTGTACATCCGTGTGTTTATATATAATATATATATTTATATATATATATATATGTTGTCAATGAAGAGGATTTTCAGTGGTGTAAACATCTCATTTGCCCTAAGGAGTCCTTAGGACCACAGGACTGAAAGTTAGCAGTGTTGTTTGGTGAACATAAAAGATATTTTGGGGCATTCTCAAGAGTTGGCTATTCTGCTTGTTCCATGTAGCAAAATTTGTTCCCCTCATACTAGCAAGTGTTACCCTATAAAATGCCTGACTGCCTGATGGCCCACTTCCATTTGAGGCCCATTTCAAGCTGTGTGGAATGATTTCTATTTGAATATTTTAAAATATACTTCATAATAACAAATACTTCAAGATAGAAAATACTATTGAAATAAGTTCTTGGATAAGTCATGACTTGTAATGGATCTCCCTCAATTATCCAGATATAATTTCTTTGATTTCTTCATTGTAATACACTTTGCAGTACTCAAATTTTACACTAACGTAGAGTTAGAGTTGGGGTTAGGGTTAGGGTGAAGGTTTAAGGTGAGTTTTTGTCCTGATACTTGCACTGATGCATATTGCACAACTTCTGACCTTCAGTTTTTGGGAAATATGTTTTAATAGCCTGTCCTTCAACTATTTTTATTGAACTGAATGTTGCTGTAGTCTTTGCCAAGCTGTTTTGCTTCATAAATCTTCTGAAGAGAGAGATACGAATTGCATAATCAATACATTAACAGTAAAAACAATAACATTTGTGCCTAATCTTGAAGTGTATTGACAGTATTGTTTTCTGCATTCTCCAACCTCTCACTTCTTYACCTGCCCCGAGTGTGGTTTTCTTCCTTCACACTGGAACTGCAGTAGGTCCCAAATACTGAGCATCCTGAGAGTGGGGCTGCACTGGCACGGAGATAACCATCACCTCGGCCCAGCAGTTTGCTTCTCTGTCAGGCGCCTCATCACTTCAGACAGTTATAAAACTCCAACAAATAATTATCAAAATCTAGGATTTATGGCTCATCTCAATTTTAATATAAAAGCATTTCCCCTGCTGCTAGTCATTAYGGAGGGAAAAGTTTCATTCACCGGTAATGATAATTTTATACTCTCTTATAAATGGGCACTGGGACTACATGGGTTACTTGGATACAAACCAGGCAGAACAATCCAAGCGTTTTCTCATGCAGAGCTTGTTTTCTGCATTCCCTCATTTTGGCAGCTGAAGATAAACATTCCTGAAACTCATGGCCAAAGCACAATGGTCATCAAAGACTTGGTCTTAGTCTCTCTCACCAGATTATGTTGGGAGGATCAAAATGGCATTGTGAATAATTAAATGAAGCTTTAGACAAGAGAATCACYGAATTTAATGAACCCAACGAGATGCCAACTAGATGCCCTATCACTTCCTCTTGCTGATTTGTGATTTGTTCAGTACAGTGTTTGCTTGAATATTAGTACTTTTGCTACAGGGAAAGTCTTCTGTTATGGATCAAGTAGCAGGGCCCAAACCTATAGAATAAAAAACACATACAGCAAACATGCAACAAAATCCTGTGTTAATGAAATTTTCTGTTGTGCACTGAATTTGTGAACACAAAGGAAATACAAAACACTCTGAACACTAAAGTTCAATGAAAAAAAAATCTGCCTAATAATCCCAATGACAAAAGAATATAAAGCATGCTGAAAAGCCAGTTTGCAAATCAAAATCAAATCTGACTTTTAAAAACATTTTGCAAAATTGCAATGTTGTTTATATAAATAATGCTTGTTTGGGAAAGCAGGGGATGTGTAATACTGTCTGCACTAAAATTAAATATAGCAGTGAGTAGCAATGTTTAATATATGGCTGCAACCTGTTCATACTGCATGACTTTAAATATTTTAAGAGAAAGAGGTTTTAAACTGCCTCCCTTATATACTTATCAGAACTTATATACTATCAGAAACTTTTGAAGAAGGAAGTGTGTCTGTTGATTGAAGCATGGGACTGTGACTCAGAAGATGTGGACTATGTTCCCCACACTGCTAACTACGGACTATGAAGCTTCCTCATCTCTGAGTTGGGAAATAGAGTTATTTGAGTTGTCAGAAGTAAGTAACAGGAGATAAGTAATTACTGTTTATTATAATTGTAATAAAAGGAAGAAAGGCACCAGAGGAGTACTGACTACCTAACAAACGTGTGAGAAAGCAGCAAATCCCTTGTATGCTGCAAGCTCTCGTGGCTTATCCTAAGCCGAAGTGGAATTTCTGTGCTATGCTGGTGAAGGGCTCAGCGATGCAGAGGATCAGTGGTTGCATTTGCTAAGCAGCAGCCACCTAAAGGTCAACAGGGCTCAAAAGTAAAACTATGATCTCATATCTTGCCCTTCCCTGTTCACACCCTTTCCATGTTTATGACTGTACGCTGGGAGGTATTAGCGGCCTCCCTTCTTCCATCTATAGGCAACCACGTCATGTTGCGGTGGGGTGTAGGCCAACTACACCGCGTAAGGTGCTGGTGCTGGGAACAAATGGAGGCCGCTGCCCGGCTGACTGTGTCCAAAGCCTCATCCAAATCTCAGCTTGTGAGCGTGGAGGTTTTCCTGGGCACTGGAAAATGCAGTCAGGATAAGGCTGACTCAGGCTAAGGAACCAAATGTTAGCAAGTGTGTGTGGGGCAATAAAAYTAGGTGACACAAACAAACAAACAGACATTGTGGGATCTCTTATAATCAAGTATGAGTAAGTCAGTGGGGTTCACCTTCTGTGATTACTGTAAAATAAAATTCCCTCCCTCCGCTTTTTTTTTTTTTTTTAAGTAAAATTAAAACAATTCCTTTTTGTTCTTGATCAAGCTCTCAGAAATTCATGTATTCATTCTTATTCAACTCAGGAAGCTAGGAGTGCAACAAAAAATCGTTCACATATACGCACAGTTTTTGTGAACGTAGTCAAGGCCTGTAGCAGGTGCAACCTGGCCAAGCCCTGAATACCCAAATACAGGAGAACGGGGGCAACTCCGGTGCCTACTTGGCTGCGCTAGCGCCCTACAAGGCCAGGCTGCTGCTGCTGGAGCAGCCCTGGGATTGTACAAGGCTGCTGTTAATACTGGAAGAGCTGCCCCTCCCAGTGGTCACAGGAGTTTCTCAAACCGAGCTCATGGTCTCTCCCTTATCGCACTGACTTTAATAACCACTAGGCAGCAAAGATACTGGTGCAGCTTAGCCCCGACGCAGCACAGCGCACTTGAGCAGGTAGCTGAAGTGTGAAGTGTGGTAGCTGCTGGTAGGCTGCCACACAACATCTAGAACACACTCTTTTACAGAATTCAAAAACAAATATTTTTTACTGTGCCTAGTTATGCTAATGCTCAGGTATCTTCCTCATAGTGAGATTTACAAAATAAAAAATAGTGAGCTAATAACTTTAAGTCTGTAACAAGTGACAGAAAAAAATGAATGTGGAATGAGGACAATATTCTGCAGTGTTTGAAAATCCACTTTCAATTTTCCATACAAGTAAACTTTGGAGGTTACATATCTGCTTTACCTATTTAAGCTATACAGGGCAGTCAGCAGAAAGTGAGTGATATGCATGACATACGTATGGCTACTGAAACACGTGACACTGTCCTTTACAGTCACTATACTGCACCATTAGCTATGGAGAAGCGACCGGTTTTCACGCACTTTCAACGCCAGCTTTGGTGTGGGCGGAGTGGGATCCTTTGCTTCCCTTTAACCCTCACATGTGTCATATTGTCATATGACTTTTTAAGGATCCACCACTTTTGATAGACAATGTGGCTTATGGGCTAAGTTATTTTACTGCTTAGGGAGATTTCCTTTATTCCCTCCAGAAGGGGCTCGGGAGACACCCTCAAAAAAGCTGCGCTTCTTCAGCGTCCGGAGCCCTATCGGGGCCCTGAGAGCTCGGCAGGGGAGCGACGGCAACGGCCGCGCGCAACGGCGGCAACGCCTCCAACGGCCGCGCGCAACGGCCGCAACGGCCGCGCGCAACGGCCCCGCCCGTCGCCGGCTCGCGGAGAGGCGGGGCCGCGGCAGCGGCGCGTGACGTCACTGCGGAGCGAGCGCGAGACCGGCCGATCCCGGAAGTGCGGAGCGGCGCGGGAGCCGGGCCGCGGGCAACGGCAGCAGCAGCGAGGCCGCCCGCCCGCCCGCTTTACCGGCCGCCATGACGAACTTTATCTCGGTGCAGCTCAAGAAGGCCTCGGAGGTGGACCTGGCCAAGCCGCTGAACAAGTTCATCCAGCAGAGCTACCCGAGCGGCGAGGCCCAGGCCGAGCACTGCCGCGCGGCCGAAGAGCTCAGCAAGCTGCGCAAGAGCGCGCTCGGCCGCCCGCTCGACAAGCACGACAGCTCCCTGGAGACGCTCCTGAGGTACCGGCGGCCGGGCGGGGGTACCGGCGGCCTCCCCTCCGCGCCGCCCCCAACGGCTCCCGCGAGGGGCGGTTGGGGGAGGGGGGCGAGCGCAGGTGTGGGCGGGGCCGGCGCAGGTGTGGGCGGGGCCTCCCATATGGGCGGAGTCTGCGCAGGTGTGGGCGGGGCCTCACCCGCCGGCACGCCCCCATCGCGCCGCGTTTGTGGGGCGAGCGCGGCCGTTGGCGCCAACGACAGGCAGAACGGCCCGTTGGCAGGGACGAGCCCCCAGGCGCTTCCTGGCGTGCCCCGTGCTGCCGCGCCCGGGCAGCCCTTGCTGGCGCCTCGCGGAAAAGGGGCAGCAGCTTCGGTTAAACGACTCCCCGCAGCCTGTGCGCGCTGTCTGGTTTACCGTTAGCGTTTCCCCCTCCCCAGCGTTCCTTCTTCAGAGTCCTTCCCCCTGTGCGATACTTTCTCACTGCGTTTTTCCTGAGCTACAAGCGTATTTCCAACTTAGCACGCTCTCCGTGTTATAAAAAGTTTGCAGGCGGCTTTGCCGTGCCAGGCTTCTTGAAGGTGGGCAAAAGGTAAATTAGCGCCTCCTGCCCACGAAAGGTAGATCTGGACTTTCTCCCTGGCAGACCACGTGAAAGCTGCTCCGTGCAGCCTGCCCCATGGTGTGCAGAAGGACAGGCGCTTTTCCATCGCTCTGCAATGCTGGCGAATTGCAGGACTGAGTTACTGCAGCAGCCTGCTCTTTAACACTGGGAACATTTCAAGCCTGTTTACTTTAGCTCATTACCTGCAGAAGTCATTGGGATTAATTGWTTGAAATTGTGTACCACATATGTACTCTTATTTGGAAATTTGGGGTCAAAGTTCTCTGATGCCAGAATACGAGTTTATTAAAGCTCTTGTGTTGTGCTTTGACCTTGCAACACCAAAGTCTTTATTTTTAAATAAAAGCAAAGGCTGTGCTTCACTAGCACAGTAGAAAATTATATCTGTAGACGTGACAGATCTCTGAAATGTTATCATAGTTCAGCATCAATACATTCAACATCCACTGCTATATTCTGTGATTTAAAAAGAAAAGAAATATAAAAGAAATAAGTGACAACCTATAGAGATAGCAAATTGCTTTTCCTTTTTTACCTTATCAAACCTTCACTGGGTGTTTGGGCTCTAACACATATGACTGTACAGATCATTGTGCTTTATGGTATCTCTGTAGCTTCCTGTTCTATTCCTGTTTATTTCTGTGGATGCTTTTTTYGAAGGTCAGGGAAATAATGAGAACCTGTGAATGAAAGGATGAACCCTGCTGTTCAAGCTGAAAGGCAGGGTATTCTCTTCTCTCAAACACTGACTTTAGTTTCCTTTTTTAATGGTGCCAGTGGGGYTTGTGATTAATTTATATCTGAAATACTTGTTTGGCCTGATCTTGTCATGTGACTGCGCTTTGCCTAACAGCTTTCCCAGGCTGAAAGGAGGAAGTTCTGCTTTGCTTTTCTGTCTGTTTCTCCAGTTYTCATCTTTCTCTTAGGCCAGTCTTGGAAGGCAGCAAACCCACCAAAACATATAGATGACTCCCTAATAGATGAGCAAATTGGACGAGTTCAGTGCAAGGACAGATGAAGATCAGAGCTGGCAGAAAAGAGGATAGAAGGACCATGGCTGAAAGCCACAGGGGCTGAATGAGACCTGCCTCTGATGCTTGTAGGTCGTTAAGTTAATTCAAGCCATGATGGCAAAAGCTTTTGACTTCCTTGCAATTCTGCTGAAATTCCCTTCTCTCTCCAGTTTCAAATACTTTTCTGTCCTTATTTAACAGTTGTGYTAAGTCTTTAAGTGCTCCTTTAGCGAGACGTAAGATGCAGCTTACACTCACCATGTCTAAAACTTTGGTTAGTGAAGCAGGTAAGGTTGGAAGAGCTATTTATARCATGCATACCTTTTACATGCACTTGTTTTTCATAACTTTTGTATGCCACACCTGGTAGAGCACTGTAGACTGATTATCTGGTAAAAACTAAGGATTAATTTGATTCTAATTAATCTCTGATTTTCAAATATCTTTCTTTGTTGAGTAGTTACTGAGGAATTTGGTGTATTTTATATGAGAAATGTCCTTTGTTGCAGCCTTACTGCCTAGGCAAAGAGTAAAGGAACAGTACAGCCATGGAGATACGTGATACGCTRGTTTTTGACTGATGAACACAACAGCTTGGGAAAACAGTCTGCTTTAAGGCTTTGCTTTTTTAAGTGTTTTAGTACTCTAAAGGTAAAATGGAGTGTAGGTGTTTGGTACAGATGTTTCCTCTTAAGTTCTGTGTTCTGTCATACCAAATCTGATCAGGCGCTGAGTTTCTTTTTTTCTAGTGTAACTATATCTTCAAGAATTTCCTTGCTTTCCAATATTAAAGAGAAACAGGACCYGCTAACCTTCTTCTGAAAAGTTTGAGCAGTTTAATTGAGCTGAAGCAGTTTAATTTAGCTAGCAACTCTTGTAGCCCTTCTAAGAGCAGGATGGATGGCTTTGTTTTGAGTGGCCACATTCTCTGTGGACTGCAAGTTGTGGTCCTGGTTTCTGTCTGCGAGTTCAGTACTGCACTGCTTATCTAAGATGAGTGAAGGCAGAGCTTGGTATCTTAGATCCTTAGGAAGGAGATTTTTCTTTATGGCTCCTTGAGGGAGGAACAGGATTGGAGGTTCTCCATGCATAAAGTGAATACTTGTATTTTAATTAAATTGTAATTAAGATCTTGACTTYTAAATTTAGCTGCTGTAACTCCACTTTATTAAGCACTGTGTGCAATGCTGACTTGAATGAAAGGAAGCTCTACCTTGAGAACTACATCTGAGTTGCTGGCATCTGTTCTCTCTCTCTCTTTGCTGTGTCTGGGGCTCACACAGTTCATATGTTTATTAATTTGGCACAACACTTCCATTTCTCTGCTCTCTCATTTATGTTGTGTGCCAGTGCCTTTCTCTTTCTACTTAATAGTTCATTTTCTGCAAATATTATTTTAAATAATTCCCTTTTTATGTTTACTCTCACCTTTCAGTGTGCGACTAACCTGTGCATCATTTTTTTTTCCTTTGAAGCCTATTTTCCATCACTGTACAATCTCAGCTTTATTTTCCGTGCTGTTAGTGTTACACTGTTATATGGCTAACAATTTCATTTACCACTTAAATCAATGTGCAGTTACTGCTAAGCAAAACTAAATTACTTCATGTATTGTGAGGCTGCAGAGATTTAAAGAGTTTATAAAATCTTGAGCAGAATTTCAGGTACAAAAAAAAGAGATCCTCCCATACTTACAATAATAAAAAGTAACATATATACTTTTTTAACCGCTGTCATAGGCCAGTGTGCATGTTTGGGAGGAACATGCACCTTTTTGCCTTCTTTTTAGGTGGTAGTTCTATGGGCTCAAAAGAGCCTGTTTGCAAACAGCCAATACTTAGGCTACCTTCTGGCTTTAGAAGGCCAGGTAGCGAGATTTTATCTTGTCTCTGCCCTTATGACAGCTCAGGGCTGAGTAGCCCTGGAGTGTGGGAAGGCAGCCTGGCTTTATCCGTGGGTTTTGGATGACAAATGGCACTGGGAGGGGAGGAGGCGGCAGGGGAAGCCTTGTTTTCTGTGTCCTACTGGGAAAAGATTGCACTGAGATCAGGGAAAGGCTTTAGGAAGGTGTGGTGAAGGAAGGCTTTAGGTAAAGCTTTGGAAATCATCTTCAGCGTTAAGGTTAGTGAACTAATTCCGGTCTAATTCTGTGTGAATCGGCATCAGTGAAGAAAATCACGAAATGGAAAGGAATGAGTATGATGGTGTGCTAAATCAGATCAGACCTACTCATGAGAGCATCAACATGCAAAGCTGAATTTGCTTAGATAGAGAAAGGCTGCTGTTTTGTTTATAGATCAGGCTTGGATTTAAGGCCATTTGAAAAAAGATGCAATAGAGAAAAAAAAACATTTGTGTCACAAACTTTCCAAGTATCACTAGCTATTGAAAGAAATCTGGTCAAAATAGGAGTCTTCTACCAAGAGTATGCATACTTTTTAAGCTAGTATCTTTACTGTGCTCACTTCAAAAGTTTTGAAAGAAGTGAGTTACTTGTGTTATCATATAGTTTGTTATCAGACTCCGAGACATGCCAATATTTTGTTTTGAAAAAACAGCTTTGATTATAGGAAAAGTACGTTTGATAATTGGATTTGTAATGACCACTTTTGTTGCAGCAATCCTCATGCTGAACTGTGACAAGCTAGAGAACAGATTAATAGTTTTGTGTAGACAAAGAAAACATTAGGAACATAAAAATCTGCATTTTTTTTTCCCCAACTATGCATTTGATGTATGTGGTAGCTTGTTGAAAGTAAAGGTTCAATATTGGTGAACTGCTGTCCCAATAAAAGTCTGCAGTCTGCTGTTGTTTTTGTTAAGAACAATTTCTTTTAAGAGCAAATTTAAGTGTGTGCATGTGTAAAAACATGTAAATTCAGTGAAGGATGTGCTAAGGATTATTTTAATGTTGCATCTGACCTTTCCAAACACTTTTTGAATTTTTAAATGTTAGCACTTTTTTTTTTTTTTGTCAGAGAAGTGCAGGCCTCTTGCATCTGCTTTGTTTCCAGATCAGGAGTGATTATTAATTAGGTAGACAATTTAAGGAAACAGGAACAATGTGTACCAAGGTTAGCACACAGATTGTGGGACTTAGTGCCAGCAATGTGTTTTGGGGGGTGGGAGTATAAGTGGAATTAGAAAGAAATGTGACCACTGCAATGTCAGATGTATGCCTGTAGGTGCTGCAGCGATGGCATAGGGAGCAGCACTTCATGTGTTACCATTTTCCTGCATCTGGCAGTTGCAAGGTTTCCTTTTGTGCATCCAGCCTCTCATGTTTAATGCATGGCGCAGATTTCGCATCCAGCTTGCGAAAACCTTGACCTGCCGACTGTTGTCTGGCAAAGTTGTGTGGGGGGCTTTGCTGTCCTTGCTGCCTTTCTGACTTTCTTTCCTAAACATCTTCCACTGCGAGCAGGCAAATAATGGTGTAGGGGAGCTTTTGGGTTTAGTTGCCTGTGGCCGCTGCAGTGTGCTCTAATGTAAACCTAGCTTAAAAGGGAAGAGTTTTATCAGGGTGAGGCTCTTCAGTTGATATTGTGTCAGGCAAATGGCATCTGTTTCAAAGAGGCTGCAGTTGAAACAGATGACTCAGAAATTGTAGGAGAGTGGAATAGAAAATAGGATGAAGAGTGTGTATTATAGCTTATAAATACTAGTTAAATGTATATATAATTTCTTTTGGCATCATGATTTAACATCTAATGTTTGCCTTTAATACTTTGTCTGCCTTCACACATCCGTTGGTACAGAGACTCCTTTGCATGAAACTTTCCCAATCCACCTTCCCTCTGCAAGTGGGGTGGTTCAGCTGCGTCTCCTGCCTGAGGCAGGGCTTCAGTGTTAGCGTGCACTTTTCCAGGCTGCCTGCCCTTGAATCTGTAGAATTTCTGTCCCTGTACTGTGGCTCCCCTCTGCTGCAAAAGAGCATCTTTCTCTGCTGCAAGTGAGCCCCGTAACTGCGAGGCAGTTCAGTGGCCTTTTCCTCGCCAGTACAAGAAACAAAGCTCACAAGTGTGCTCTCTCTCTCCTTTTATTTATCTATTTATTTATTTTTTTAGGTACTATGATCAGCTGTGTTCTATTGAGCCAAAGTTTCCATTCTCTGAAAATCAGGTAAGAAGATATATCAAGCTGTTAAAATATATGTCGTGAAACTGTAGCAGTGATAGTCGTGGCACCTAGAGCCTCTGACAAGTCTATATCTAATCCACTGAACAGGACTTCTCTTGGGCAAGGCAATCTCTGAGCCTTTTTCTAATCTCTGGTTATTTTCARTCTGTAGCCCCATATAATCTACAAGGAGACTTCACCTCTGGTGGTTGTGATTGCCTTCATTTTACAGGTGCCAGCACACAGGCTCAGGAAAGCTTAGGTTTTGGTTGGCAGTCACTGCAGTCCATCTGAGGAGGAGCTGCACTTTGCTGAAAGATTCTCTATAACACTCTCTTTTTTTTCTCCAAGGAGAAATCTGCTTTATATTATAGTGGCTTTTTAAACATAATTTATATGAGGAAAATAAAATGTTAGTTGGTAGTAGATGGAATGTGATCCTCTGTTCTTGAGGTAGAACAGATGTTTCATTCATAGTAGCTAACAAATTTTGCCCACTGAAGAGTTTACCATGTTATTTCTGTCTCTACTATTTATGTAGGCATTATATTCATTAAGTTATTTTTCTACCATCTTTCCTTAACATAACCCCTTTTCTTGGCTAGAAACTAGAATAGATCTTTAGGTCTCTATATTTAGGAGGAGAAAGACATGTTTTCTTTGGAGTGTCTGCAAATAGGACAACTTCTAGTTCTCTTATAACCAAAATATATTTGAATGGCAATGTTATGATTTAAAAAAAAAAATGCTTTTCAGGGACACAGGGTAAAGGAGTGGTTTTCTACCAGTTTATGCTTACTTGAATTTTCTACATAGCTGCATTAACTTATAGCCACGAACTCCCTTGAGTTTCCAGTCTGTAAATGTTTTGATGTGGTTATCTGCAAGCCTTGAGACACGGAGAACTGGCAAGTTTTAGAAACAAGGTCTGAAAATGATCTTCCCATGAGCAGAGCAGTTCATAAGAATTTGAAGGTGGTGAGCAGAACTTCAGCGAGGTTGGCTGCTGGAGGAAAATATGTTAGTAAATGATACTGCAGACCTCACTCAAGTTACTCTTCTCTGCCATTTTTAAAATGATCTTTTTCTCTTTTTCTGGACTGATAGCAGTTGCCTGCATTTAGAGCAACTGAATAGGGAATCAAATTGTGGAATTTCAAAGCAGAGTCTATGAAATATTTGCATTGTCTTTGAAATACAGGCTGAGAAGTGTAGCATAAGACACACCTGTTTTACCTGCTTTCTCTTTCCCCAAATGGTTTCCTGACAATGCCTGTATTGAATTCACTTTTAATATGCATAAAAAATGTATTACAAAGCAGTTCCAGCTAAGTTAGTAATTTGAAACTGTGGAAAATGTCTGGATGGGTCATTCATTTCACCTGTAAACATACCTGTCAGACTCTTTGTGGGAGGAATGTCTGCATCTTGCTTCTTGAAAGGGCTTGAGCAAGCTAACTGAAAGAAAAGAACATAGAATAAACTTCTTAAGCTACCTATCATTGATTTCTTGAAATTCCTGGGATGTTTGTATTGTTAGAGATGAATTCAGCATTTTACATCATTAGAATAACAAAGAATAAATATGTGAATTTGGGATATTTTTGAATGTTATGTATTTAATAAATCTCTTTTTTTCCCATATCTTTCAGATCTGTGTGACATTTACATGGAAAGATGCCTTTGATAAAGGATCACTTTTTGGAGGATCTGTCAAACTGGGTATGTAGTTATAGGGAAAGTGCAAATAATAATGGTCATACATTTTCAGAATATTTTTGTATATTTCATGTGGTGGGTAAATTGTATTTTTAGTGTTTTCAGGAGTGGTTTAGAATTAATTCAGGTATATTGGTAACAGATTAATCATCTCAACATTACTAATGAGTAAATGGGTGCCATGCTAAAAATGTCTATAAATAAATTCAAATAGCCATTCACTGTCTGTTTTTCAAAGGCACAAGTACACAGTTTGAAAATAGTTGTGGTAAAGGAGATTATGCTCCTTAAACTTGCTCTGAAAATTATTCAAGTGCTAAGTTCCAGTAGTAGACTTTTGTTACCCCAACTCTTTTTCCTTGAACAGCATCCTGTTGGGATGTGCTCGTATAAGTGTGAGCAAGTTCCTTAAAGAAAAAGGGCAGCGATGCTTAGCTGGCCTGAGTTAGCTTGTCTGGCATCGTGCTTGCTTTCAGAAGGAAGAGGGCCCTGAAATGATTCTCCTATCATTTCTTTTTAAAGCATTTTCATATGCATGTGAATGCTATCAGTAAAAAAACCAAGTTATAATGGTTTCCTGAAAGCAAAAGGAATTTGTTTCTATGGTATATTTTAGTCCTATAGACATAATCTTATGCTGAAAATTCAGGAACATTAAAAAGGTTTAGAAAACTTGCCCCCGGAGAAGATAAGACAGAATCCTTTAAAATTAAGGGAGCTGCTTGGTGGTGATTTTCCATTGCTGGTGAGCTGTTTCTCCATTTATACCTACGTATTCATCATGACTAGCAATATAAGACAGTCATTGCAATCCTGACATGTCAGACAAAGTCTGAAAATCTCTTAGATTTTTTTTCCCTTTTCTGTTGTGTTTTAGTTTTGACTGCTGCGCTGCATAGTTTTCTGTTAGCAACTAGTGCAAGTTGCTGTAGCTTTATACATGCAAACTGCACATGCTGTAGCTGCAGTGTGCAAAGCTTATGCAGAACAGTACACCGTGCTGCTATGTTGAAGCAGATGCTATGCATATTTTTTCCTTTATAAATAATCAAGCACCTACTTGAAGCTGCAGCTTTTCGTTTCTTAGAATTTGTTTAGTTCTGGCTTTTCTAATGCTAGCTTTTCATGTTAAATGAACCTGTTTCATAATAAGGTGGAGAATTTTTAATGATGACCTGAATGTAGTCTGTAAATCACTATAGACATGAGAAGAGCCATCAGTGATTCTAATGTTGGTAATTACCCTGAGAATTTGTATACATGTGATGTTGCAGCAGCTTGAGAAAACTTGCTTATCTGCAGGTTAATTATATAGTAGTCTGAGGCAGATGGCCAGAGGTTTATGCAACAGTCCAYATGAGATGTGAAAAATGCAAGAAAYCTCTAACTGAGATGAGTAATGCACTGAGCAAGCAGTGAAATAAAATAGATTTTGGAACTTCAGAATTGGTGGAAAGAAATAAGCACATTGTTCTTGTGTATACTTTTAGAATATTGTATTGGAGATTGTTCAGATGCTGCTCTCCAGATTAAGGCTAGCGTGTTTGTATCTTTTTACTTTGGATCAGAATTAACCGAGGTTTATCAGTGCAATGGAAGGTTTTCAGTGTTTGAGGGGATAGAATTTCTGTTGACTTCAGAATGTGAGGTGATCCTTTCTCCCGGTGGAAATCCAACCCCAAGCTCCTTTGACTTCCACGGGGGCAAGATCCAGGGATCTGCCTCGTCAATTCTGGGTCCTGCTTCTATGACATACTAAGTTTGTTCTTCCTCCCTTCCCATCTACCTTTAAAATTCAGAGGCTCTTGACTGTTTTACAGGGGTAGCCAAGAGAAACTGGCTGCTTGAATTCAACTGTTCTTGCTGTTGTAAATTGTACTTGGGACCTAGTCCAGAGTATGAAGCAATTCTGGGTGTTCTGGTCCTTAATTAAAAAGAAAAAAAAWWRGRAAAAAAAATAATAAACTTCTCGGAGAGAGGTTAGCTAAATGAATAAATAAATGAAGCCAATTTCACTCAAGGAATGAAACTGAGGGAAAATTGCCTGTCTGGTTTGTGGCTATTTACCTGAAAATTTACCRCAGGTCAGGGATTGCTGACACAGAGGTTTCAGAGATGTGTCAGGTAAATATATAGCTGTATAAAAGCGATGGATGTTAAACAAATGCATCCCATCAGTATCCTCCTTGAACCACTTCCTGCAGTGTATAGATTTTCCAACAGTTGCCTCTTCACACTCGCATATTTTCCTGAGGAAATTAATAGATTCAAAATGGCTGATGCTCAGATATTASTGTTTGTAGAGCTGTGAGCTCCATCCTCTGGGGCAATGAAGAACTACAGGAACTGGAAACTGCAGTTTTCTAATAAGCATGTTTTATTTAAGAAAATATTTAAATATATGCCCTGTGTACAGTACGTGTATAACTGGAGTATAACCGAGGTGATTGTCAGTGTATGCAATCTGAGATAATAGCTTTCAGAGGGGAAAGGCTTCTCCATCTCCTACATCTCAATCCATGGTAAGATAGAGGGTTCCTAAAAGCTTTTTTCCTCRGTGAGAGAGGATAGTGAGAGCACGAAAGTGGACAGTTATTGCAGAGTGATTAATGCACATAAGTTCATGTTTCAGATTATCTTTCGGTTCTGTGTCTTTCCCTGTCTTCAGAGGATAAAAACTGCCCTGTAGTTGGAAAGTCTTTTGGATCATTTCTGCTACTGCTTTTAAACTTTTAATGGTCTGAATAGTCTAACGCCCTTCTTTCACAAAGTGCTTCAAAACAAGGAGCTATGTTCAGTTTGTGAAATTAAGAAAATGTTGATTTTAAAAGTCTGTTTCTTTTGTTTGGCTCGAAACTGCTGGTGTCTTTAAATACAGAGTGCTAGTGATGGCACATGTGCAGGAGGCTGGTGCATACTCAAGGTTGGTTTTTTAAAACTCTCTCTCTTGATTGCAGCTCTGGCAAGTTTGGGGTATGAGAAGACTTGTGTTTTGTTCAACTGTGGAGCATTAGCAAGCCAGATTGCAGCCGAACAGAATCTAGATAATGATGAAGGTCTGAAAGCTGCAGCTAAACACTACCAGGTACAGAGGCTTTCTGCTTGTGCCCTGGAATTCAGAATTGAATAAGCAGAGCATTGAATAAGTATCTCAGTTTTACCGTCACATATATATGTAATTTTCTCTTCACTATCAAGATGGATTGGCTTACTATGTAATTTTCTCTTCACTATCAAGATGGATTGGCTTACTATCTAGTATTTATTCACAATTATGTGCTTACAGGATTTAATTCCATGACAAATTGTTTTTCTTTCCCCCTAAGCTTCTGGTAGCCAGCCACAGGGGTCTTAAGATTTAATGGATTTTAGCTAATTTGGATCTTGTCATGTTATACAGTAATTATCTCTTTCATTTGTCTTGATAGAACATGTTAAATCATCCTTTTTCCTTTCATGCCTTCAGATGTAGCCAACATGCCTATAGTTATAGTCAGTCTTATTTAAAAAAAAAAAAAAAGATGTTTTCAATGTAGATATTTTCAGGAAGAAGTCACAAGAAATTGTTTTTCATGCTTAAAGAGTCTACAAAAGCAGCCTTTTTTTTTTTTTTTTTTTTGGGAATGCTATTGTAGTTTAAAGAGGAAAAAATCTGCTTAGGAACCTGAAGGATGATATTTTTCTTTTCTTTAGTTTGCAAGTGGCGCTTTCCAGCACATTAAAGACACCGTCTTGTCGGCACTGAATCGAGAACCCACCGTGGACATCTCTCCAGACACAGTTGGAACTCTCAGCCTTATTATGTTGGCTCAAGCTCAAGAAGTGTTTTTCTTGAAAGCGACAAGAGGTAGATCTCAATTTTCCTCTTGCATGTTTTATATTTTCATTAGAACTTATACAAAAGGTTACAAGCATTTTAAGTTACCAGGAGCTTTCAGAAGGCCTTTCAAAACTTCCTTTTTACCTTTACTGTTCTTTAAGTGCAGGTCATTTAAAGCAATAACAACAACAACAAAAGCAGTATTTATTTAATGTTCACTTATTATGACAATTGTCCTGTCTTCTGATTTGTCTTTAGTTTACAGAGGATTTTATTAAATTCCAATTTCTTTCTTCTTTGAGACCACAAGGCATGTTCACTCAGCAGAATGGAATCCACTAGGAATGTACATGGTACATTGGGAATTCACCTTTACTCCCTTCCTCATCAGTCTGGGAAGTTATTTCTTGGATAGCATCTCAACAATAAAATACTGCTGTAAACTGGGGGAGTCTGTTTAACAGCCATACCAGCTGATCATGATGTTTCTGATGGAATGGAATTTATTTACCTTTGTAAATCATGAGAGTTTGGCCAAAAAAACCTGGGTCTAATCCTGCTCCACTGTAGGACTACAGATCAACTCTTCTTCCATTCTCAAATCTTAATGTTTTCTTTAAAGGTGTCTTTAAGGCTGCAAGCGTCCACTGTTCCATCCATAGAATTACGTTGTAGCTATACCATTTTTAAAGAGATGTGAGTAAAAATTCAAACCTGTAATGGTGAAAGACCTACCCCTAACTCTCCACATGGACAAATGAGTCTTGAATGTTTCTTTTTTCTGCTGATTGAACCTTAGTACAGTGGCAGTATTTTTCATAGCTTCACAGAACCCATGCTGCATGAAGGAAATGCAACTACCACACACTAAGTAGGGTTAGGAAGAACTTAGTCCTGTTTCATTAACTATTTAATGCACTGGAAGGAGATGTACTAAAAAAAATAAATAAAAACATTAAGTGGATAGATCACGTTTTAGCTCCTGGATTAGTTTTTCTGCTTCTGGCATATGTTAAATGCATTTACACTGGAGAACTCTAATGCTAAGCATTGTGGCTCTTGCCTAAATTGTTGTAGGGGTGTGCATGGGCTAGGACGAGCAGCCTTTTGGGGATCTTGGGACTTTTCTTCTGTGGATAGGTGCACTCAGCAGTCCTTTTCCTCGCCCAGCATTGATGCTTATCAATCTGGCAGCCCATGAAAATTGCTGGATCGAAGGACACTTGTCTGACAAGGCAGTCGTTTSGGGGGGCGGGTTTGACATTTATGCTGCCTGCCCGCTCTTGCAGGGCTGAATTGCTGGTGCAGACCGGAGGTGATTATAAAGGGAGATAAAGATAGATGCAGTACATTCCTCTCTTAACAGCTTTGGCTTCAGGAATAGCATCAGGCCAAGAATCCTGCTGCTGCCAGTCACGTACTGCTCAGATAGGGAGCTGGGGAGAGTGCTTACGAGCTCACCAAGATGTGGGCTGCTGTGGAAAGGAACAGTCCTTTCTCTCCACCTTTACCATGCAAATTTCTGGGAGTCCAGAGACTGATCTGGAGTAGGGATTTTACTGAAAATTAACTTCTATATAGAATTTTGTTGCCTGACTTCAGCCAAATATTTTGATCCTGGCTGTACAAATGCCCTTGCCAGCCTGAGAGGGGGGCTGRGAACACATTGCCAAGGGGAGAGTGGGACTGCTGCTTTGATTTGTAGCCTGCCCTTGGTGTGAGGGGAAACTTCATCCTCAGTACTGCAAAAATGCACAGKTGCCAGGAGGGTTCTCTTAAAGCTGACTGAACCTGCAACTTCATRATTAAAGTGAAAAATCTGCAAACTGTGGTTTGATGCTGAGAACGGAAAAATGGGCGCATTAGGGGCGCACGCCCCTAAGCTATAATGCAAAACTGCATATTTAGAATGCTATTGTTGCTGCTTTAGGTTGAAATAATCTACATGTTGATTTGTAAAAACTAATGCTAATCATCATTGTTCTTCTCTTTTCCCCACCAGATAAAATGAAAGATGGTATTATAGCTAAACTAGCTAATCAAGCAGCAGATTATTATGGTGACGCTTACAAACAATGTCAATATAAAGATACTTTGCCCAAGGTTAGTAGCCCTTATGGAAATAGCCTGAGACTTGCTRTGACTGTGAATAGCTGGCGTTTACTGTGTACGTGGTGAAATGTGCTTAAGATGATATCTTCAAGAGAAGTCACTGGCATTGTCACATCCAGGGGAAGTGAACCAGTATTTGGAAAAACTGTTAAGAATCTGAGAAGGAAATAGTGGCATTTTTTTTTTTTTTTAAGATTTTTCTTTTCCTTTTAGTAGGTAATATCTTCTCACATGAAACGTTTTTACTTCATTTAAAGTTAGCTTGGAATGCTTATRGTAGTGTTTAGGGATACTTTCTTATTTAATGCCTTACTAAATATTTCTAACATTTTCTAATGGGGCTTAAATGGCTTTTAGTATCAAAGATTGGATGTGAAATTTGCTATCTTGGTGAAAGCATGAATGCAGTGTTATTGATCCACCAGCCTGTTAATGAAAAACATAACTGGAAGTCGGTGTGTCTTATCTCCTTCTGTTTGTTTTTCTCTTTTCCTCTATTTGATACTCCCACCACACCCCAGGAAAAAAGAAAAATTAAGTAGCTCAGTTCAGGCTTGACAGTCATTTTGTTATTGTTGATATTGGAAGCTGCAGAAAGACATTTCCCCWCTTTCAATATAGAGAATATAAGGATTATTTTAAAACTGAGCCTGCGAGGCAGACTGTATTAACTGTGTTCAACTAAAATTAGTATGCATTTTTTGTTTAAAATAATAAACAAATGGTCCTGTAGACCAATCACAGATACGCCCACACATACATACACGCACACATACACATATATGTATACACATATATGTGTATATGTGTATACACATATATACATGTATATATGTGTGTATATGTATATATGTGTATATATGTATACATATATTTGTGTGTGTGTGTATAAACAAATCATTTGCAGAGTAAATTTAGAGTTTTGCTTGCTTGCATCTTTGACAGATTCCTCATTGTGTGTGTTTCCTTTCACGCACTCTGTATTGCTGTACAGGTTGGGCTGATCTCATTCCTAGGTAGTAATTGTTCCCTGAGAGATGATGAGGTACAGCAAAGCCATTGCTTTGTTTTGTTGTGGATGGTTTTAAACCATTTTCTGCTTATCAACTGTCAGTTTACTATATTGCTTGAAAGAAAACAGTAGATTTGCTGGTGGTTTGAATTAGCACAGGCTCTGAGAGCCATCACATSTCTAGGAGTGGGAAATAGTTTATTTTGTGTGTCGGGTCCCAGTAGTAAAGCCCCCCAGGCAGCTCTCAAACTGGTCCCCTCTTTTGCATCCCTGTGGGCATCAAGGTTGCACAAGTGTGAAGAAGCAGGGGTTTCTGTCCTCGGGTCTTTAAAACTTCGCTCTGCTTTTCCAGTGCTTTTCCTTAGTTTAAGGCATAAGACTCTAAGGCCAAATCCTTGATCAAAGACCATGCCTATGCTGTGGGCTTCAGTATAATGTTTTCTTCATGTCTTGATTGGTACTTCTGTGAAGATAAGTGCATTTATATATAAAATCTTTTAAAAAATATCTTTTTAATTAGTTTTTGTCTCAGTATTGATTGGTTCTCTTTGTTTGCTCCTTTTTCCTTAACTTTGGAAGTACTTTCTCTGTAGGACTTGTGATGTCTTCAATTTTTTTTTCCCTCCTTTTCCTTCTCTTCTTTTAAGAACACTTTGTCTTGCGAATACTTGGGTCTGTTCTTGTAGCTGTCCTTTCTAATATATGCATGCGTGCTAATCTTTGTAAAGTAAATGTTGTGACTTCATGGCTTGAGTGTAAATTGTCGTTCATCTGAGATAATGGCCGTTGTAAGAATTTTGAAACAGCAAATTAAAAAAAGCCACTGGATTCAAGCCGTGCAAAGTCACATGATCTGACATTTACATTTAATGTTTTAACCAATCTAAACTATTAATTGGGTGATTCTAATTTCCTGTTCTTCCTTTTTCTTCCTGCATCCCGTGTTGTCTGTGGTGGTTTTTGTGGTTGGACTTTCCCTGGTCAGTATTTTTATTTCCAGGAGGTGTTTCCTGTTCTGGCTGCAAAGCACTGCATTATGCAGGCCAATGCAGAATACCATCAATCCATCCTGGCAAAACAGCAGAAGAAATTTGGTGAAGAAATTGGGAGGTTACAGGTGGGTAATTTGTGTGTTTCTTCTCCCCCCTCCTCTTCCTGCACCTAAAATATGGGAAAACTTCAAATCCTCTTTTAAAAAGTTAACTCAGAGTTGTTATATTCAGATAACTGAGTGAAAAATACTTTAAAAGCTCAGAGTATAGTTGTTATATAAATCAGTTATTTGCAGCTGCGAGGACAGTATGTGTCTTTGTAACTTTTGTGACAGTGAAGCACAACTGCTGCTTGCTCTGTTAAAAACATGAAAACAAGATGCTGGCATTTTTTTGTGATTGAGGTTTTTTGAAATGTTTTTGCCTCTAACCCATTATCAGTTATTAGGATGTGAGGGAGTCCTTTGAACCTTTGGTGGGATCAACCTGTTGATTGCTCACTGCTGTTGGATGAACTATTTTAATTAATAAATTTTGCTTTTCTGTTTTTGTTACTTTAAATGAGGAGAAGAATATTTTCTTACATAAGGAAAAATAGTATCAATTGTGTTTTAATGTTAAAAGTTGTGTGGATGGGTGCCTGGGAAACTCTTCTATTCCCAAATATATATATATATATATATATATATATATATATATATATGAAAGAGAGGAAGAAAAAGTAATATTTGAGTTCTAACTGTATTCTTATTTTTCAGCATGCAGCAGACTTGGTAAAAACAGTGGCGTCCCGTTACGATGAATATATAAATGTTAAGGATCTGGTTGACAAAATCAATCGGGCGCTTACAGCTGCAAAAAAAGATAACGACTTCATTTACCACGATCGTGTCCCTGACCTGAAAGACCTGGAGCCCATCGGCAAAGCCAGCCTCGTGAAGTCGACTCCCGTCGTCGTTCCCCTCAGCCAGAAATTCACGGGTAAGGCAAGCGGCTGGCGCACCCATGGCCAGCCAAGGTGCTGGTGTGAACTTGTGGAGAGCACTAAGCTTACAGCAGTGTGTTTGATTTAAAAAAAAAAAAAAACAAAAACAAAAAAAAAAAAACATGTCTTTCTAGTTTATTGTTTTACTACTTGATGGCAAAAGTACCGAACAAAAAACTGCATGTTAAAAATAAATGTGCAGCGTACGTGAGGGTTTTTTTTGCAAGTGCATCTTGTAAAGATTTTCCCATTTTTTTGCTACTGTGTTTTCTGTCTTAAAACCTTTCTTAAATTTTCAAAATGAGCACTAATACAAGGGAGAAGTATCAAATTATATTTGACTAACTTGGTTGCTTGTTTTCCATAAAGTTGAGATAATCTTATAGATWATTAGCTGAACAAGGGAATTACAATATCTTAAAATCACTTCCCTTTCTTTTCTTCCTTAAAATGCAAAATAGAAATGAAGCCTTAAGGGAAACTTGCTTTGTAATCCTGCAGTTCTTTTCACTATAATCTGTTCAGTTATTTCTACTTTGCTTTCAGTCTTAGACTGAAGGAGTATCCTAAACTGTTCAGATTAATCTCTGTAGAAAAACCGCACTAAAGAGCTGTGAAAGTCTTTGCTGTGTCCTTCATAGTGCAACTTGTTCGTGTTATTTGAATTGCAGACCTGTTTGAGAAGATGGTTCCATTGGAAGTTCAGCAGTCCGTGAGTGTTTATAACCAAAGAAGGGCAGATCTAGTAAATAGGCTAATAGCTCAAATGAGAGAAGCCACAAATCTGGCAAATGGGTAAGTACTGCAGCAGCTTAACTTGATCAGGGGGATTTTGTGGAACTACCAAAGCTACCTGCAGCCTTTAGACACCTGGATAGCAGTAGAAATAAATTGTTATTGTGTGCTGGAGTGGCATACTTGAGCCCTAGCAGAGGTGCTTAGAACTACTAGTCTGTAGACATTAAGACTGAATGCATATTAAGAACACATGKTTTTCTTCAGTCTTTATTCAGTTGTATCTGACACTTGCCCAGAGGAAGTTCCGGTGCCATTTGCCAAGAGAGATTTTCAGATTTCAGCAGTCAGCGTGATTGAACTAGTGACTCAATAAGTGCTATTTCTCTTGGCTTTCATTTTTTTTTATAGTACGATTTTATATGAAACTTAGAGGTGAACATGGTGAACATGTAACTGAAGGCAGATGATTATTTATCTACCAGTCAACTGGTAGACACTACATTTTTATTAAGTGCTAAAATGCAGAAGGGACTGTGTARGGCTTGTTTACTTTCAAAACTACATTCTAGGCTAAATTTAATCTTCAGTTTGTAAATTCTATTCAAGAATATATTATTTGCTGTTTCCCTTTATTCCTGGAGTTGAATTGGTATGAGTGTTAGTTTGGGTAACAATGTAATGTGCTGGATAGAATGGTTAGAACCATCTCTACAAATGACTTGTGGTGGCTTTTCAGCGTGCTGGCTTCCCTCAACCTTCCTGCTGCTATTGAAGATGTGTCTGGTGACAGTGTTCCGCAGTCTATTTTAAACAAGTCTAAGTCTGTGATTGAACAGGGAGGAGTTCAAACTATTGATCAGCTCATCAAAGATCTGCCTGAACTGCTGCAGAGGAACAGAGAAATCTTAGATGAAGTAAGCGCGCCAACAACTAACACTGAAATATTCTTTAAAAACAGCAACAGAAACAAAAAAATATCTAGTTTGGTCTCTCTAAATGGCAATAAAAAAGCATGCAAATGTCCAAAATACGTGCAAATTTTAATAATGGTTTTAAAAGCATGCTATTTAAATGTTATGTCTTTGTATGTGAAAATTGTGCTGTCACATAAAGGTTTTTCCTTAGAGTTGTTTTGTTCTTAAAGTTAAGTTCAAAGGGGAAAAATAAGGTTATAAAAAATTGGGGGGAGAATTTTTCCTTACATTTTTGAATTGCAAATTTAAATTTATAAAAATTAAGTAGTATTCTTTGTATTTCCTTAAAAAAAAAAGTGCTTCTAATGGTTTATATTAAATCTGGGTTTAAGAAAGATTGTAATGCTTGTAACATTTTAACTCTTGTAGTCATTAAGATTATTAGATGAAGAAGAAACTACAGACAATGACCTGAAAACAAAATTCAAAGAACGCTGGCAGAGAACGCCGTCCAGTGAACTCTATAAGCCCTTAAGGGCAGGTAAATCTCATTTTTCATCTCTTGGATTCTGGGATGCTCTAGAATTGTTTGTTGTTCTGTAAATTAAAGTGGGTTTCAGYGCTCTAATATCATTTCCAGAGAGATGAATCCCAATTTAGGAGACAGCTTGTCAAAATGGGAGCACCAACTGAAATAAGTCTTATCTGAAGATGATTGGAGGTCATACCATAAAATTTGTAGCTGTTTTTGCATCTCCTGAGAGAGAGTACTGCATACTAAAGTTTTAAAAATCATGCATAATGGAAGATTTGTGTGTGTGTGTGTGTGTGTGTATGTATATGTGTATATATTCCATGTATATGTATATATAGAATATAATGGCTTCTCTTCATTATATATGGAATATAATGGCTTCTCTTCTGAATGCGGTTGAAATTACAAGTTAAGTACATTGAGTAGTGTATTTAATTTTGAGTGTTTTCTATGCATATATTCACTGTGTAAGGTTTTTCTTTTTTTTCATCTGGAAGTTTTTGGCTTGAGTGTTTGAGTAGTTTGTCAAAGTACTGGCCATCACTGTATGATCATCACTGTGGGCTTAATCAGCTTAATTTTGAAGCTAATGACAAATAGATGCCATTGTCTCTATTTACACAAAGTTACAGGCTTTMAAATCTGAGCAGCTCACACCAGTGTTTTTTAATGTACTTTTGTGTGCCCCTTTAGAAAATTCTTAGTTTATGTTAAATAAAAGTTAAATTTAAAAGTTTTACGTGTTCATAACAATAAGGTACAGGCCTCGTAGAAACCTGTAGACGTGCAGAAAGATTGAAAAGCATGAAAATTTGTYTTGGTGTAAGGCTTGGCTAAAACTAGCTTGGAAATAATGCGAGTTCCTTTCTTTCCTCTTGCCAGAGGGAGCCAATTTCCATAATATTTTGAATAAGGCGGTGCATGCGGACGGGCTGGTTAAAGAGCGCTACCAGTCTCACCGGGACACGATTGCGCTTCTGTGCAAGCCAGAGCCGGAGCTCAACGCAGCCATTCCCTCTGCCAACCCAGCCAAAACACTACAAGGAAGCGAGGCAAGGCCCGGAGAGGGCGCTCTGTTTCCAGGGGAAATGGTAGCCAGTTTAACGAWGTAGAGTTCTTGGTGGCCTGGTATGGGCACTGACCCTTAGCTGCTCCTGTTTCGGGCACTGCTGAGACAGGTGGTAATTAACTTAGTTGGAAAACAAAGTGCTTTTTGGGGTGGTTTGGGGGAGTTCTGGGGATTTTGTTTTGTTTTTGTATCTGCTAGAATTTATTTAGTAACATGTCGTGTAAGCAAGTTCAGTTGCTAGGTACAGTGGGACTGGTTGACATTGCAAAAGGAGCAATCCTTAATAACTTCTTTTATGTAGGGTAGTTCAGGTGGTGCTGAGGTTTTTTGAGGCAATATGGGCATTATGGAAAATAATGCCTCATATTTGAAAGTGTTAGCCCAGAAGTCAAGGCTCACCARTATCAATATGATTATTTGGCTGATAGGAATGATTTGAATTTAGTATGTTTTGGGGTCAGATTTTTGTTGATGTGTGTTCCAGTAACATTTTCCATCTGATCTTTCTTGAAAAAAAAAAGTTATATATATTTTTGTAGTACTTCTATGTTATTAGTGAAGTYGACTCTTCAGAGAAGACTATAGCAACCTGTGTTATGTGGGCTTGTGTAGGCATTTCAGCATTGTGAAGAGTGGAAAGGGTGGAAAATAAGTAATGAAATCTATTTTAGAGTTTGTAGGAATTCACCGAGACATATTAACTTGTTTTGAAATTTGTATTGCCTAGGTTGTTAATGTCCTAAGGTCTTTGTTAGCCAATCTGGATGAGGTTAAGAAGGAGAGAGAACAACTTGAAAATGACCTGAAGTCAGTGAACTTTGACATGACAAGCAAATTCCTGGCCGCCCTTGCACAGGATGGTGCTATAAATGAGGAAGCTATTTCTGTGACCGAGTTAGACAGAATTTATGGAAGYTATACACAGAAAGTGCAAGACTCCCTCAAGAAGCAGGAAGAGCTTCTGAAAAATATTCAGGTACCACAGAGTGTCTTTATATGTCKCCCTTACTCTTAAACCTAGTGGCAAGAATTCCTGTACGTTCCCAATGCTGTAGAAATCTGCTTCCTACTCTGTCTTGCTCGTGACTCTGTCATAGAAAATGTTTACATGTTCGACATGTTTAGTCCTCTGATTACTGAGAGAGAGAGAGTGTTGTTTATTATTTTATTTTTCCCTTTGTTAAAAAGAAATGTGCATTTTAGCAGGCTATTYCAGAGCTCTGATGTAAATTCTCTGACTGTCTCAGTACATTTTAGCAGGTGCCTTTGCCCTTTAAAGAAGCTTCCTTTGTGTAAGAAGTTCTGTTTTGCTTTTGTTTTGGTTTTCTTATCCCATTTTGATACATTTCTTCCTGGGGTAACAAAAGAGACTTGCCATTACTGCCTGCCAGAAGATGTTTGGGGTCTCTCGAGTACATTTTCTAACACTCCTGATTTCAGGTTAGGAGACGTTTGATTTGCAGTGTCTGTCAAGATGGTCAATATACCGACTTACATTGCAAAATCATTAAAGTAAATATWGGGAATTTTCTCACATGTGGTTATAAATATTTTAAATTGCCACAGCACTAAAACAGGTACCTGAGTTATGATGGCGAAGACAGGTGGCTTGAGTCATGATCAGGCTAGCTCTGTGTGAGATTATTAATAACTTTTAACTGTAGCTTATACCTGCAAGAATATCAGTAAGAAACTTTTTCAAAAAAGGAGGAAATGTTTCTAAATGACCACGGGGCCTCTGTTAATCAAGAACTTTAATTTCAGAGTTATCTTCCTGTCTGTACTCTTTAAGTCTTGCYGTGTATTTCTTTGATGTTTGAGTATCTTGGAATTCACATTTGGCCGCTTCTAGCAGCTGAAGTAGCCTTTTAAGTCTAGTTTTCAAAGCAAGTGAGATGTGTGCCATGATTTTTCTGCCAGTTTTCCCCTTGCCTGTCCTCTTAATAGCCGGCTGACGTCAACCAGATTTGGTTCTTTAAAAACCAGAGTTCTTTAAAATACCAATTCTCAGTATTTTATGAGCTTCAATGGAGGGTAGTAGAGCAGAGGGACCCTAATTAGTATCTTCTCTGAACCACAGTCTGCAGTATGATCTTGGAAATGAGCYGGAGGCCGACCAGAACAGCCAATGTGTGTTAATGCCTGGCAGTAGGGATCAGCTAATTACGTGTAGCTCTCAAATAGCCGCAGCGCTGGGTAATTAGCACGTATCAGAAAGTACAGCCTGTGTGTCTGGGAAGAAGGAATAGAAGGGAGGAGAAGGAGAGAAGACAACTCCTTAGACTCTGAGTTGCATAGGGAACTAAGCTGCACGATTTTCATTGCTCATTTTTYCCCTTCCTCCTTTTAAGAGCGCGCATCAGGAGTTCGCCAAGGTGAAGCAGTCGAACAATGAATCTAATTTAAGGGAAGAAGTTTTGAAGAACTTAGCTGTAGCAAACGACAACTTCGTGGAACTTGTTGCCAATTTAAAAGAAGGCACAAAGGTAAAGTAATAAGAAAGAAATGGGAAGATTTTTTTTTTTTCTTTCCACGCTGAGATGTGAATTTTGCAGACATGCWAGATGAAAGGSACRTTCTGGTGGMTTTTACTATTGGCAGTGAGCTRCTTGAATATTCTGATTGTGTTGACAGCCATGAAACATTTTTCTGTTCCTGTCTTATTAGTAAGCTTTTCTGAACGTTGGTTTATGTTAAAATAAGAAAGGGGTAACAGCTGAGTAACTAGTGCAGAACTGCACAGATTCAGCTTCTTATAAAGGTATTTTTTCATCTGTTCTACCATAGTATTTGGTCACCTTWAAAAAAAGTTTTATATTGTTTTACTGCATACATGAGGAGTGATCARGAAAGTTTTATTTAGCTGACTTTTCTTGACCTGGGTTTGTGAAAATGACTCGTTTCTGTGTTGAGCACTTGAGCTAGTTTAYTGACAGACCAGTAAAATAGTATAATGCTTGTAACTAGGTCCATATGTRTAAGTATGCTAGTCTGTAGTCTGAAAATATTGTCTGAACACTCCAATTTTTTTCTTCATTAGTTCTACAATGAACTGACAGAAATTCTTCTGAAATTCCAAAACAAATGCAGTGACATCGTCTTTGCTCGCAAGACCGAAAGAGATGAACTGCTTAAGTAAGAATCTGGTGTTTTATTAAATGTTACTTATTAACATTTAGCAAATGTTAAGTATCTGCCAAAAAATCATACCTGAGGACCTGTGGACAGTTTTATTATTACTTGATGAAATGGGAAGGGAAGAATACACATATGTTCCTTACCTTCAAATGCAGTATTAGTATTTAAGAGAATAAGACTCCAGGGAGAATTTTTTACTTATTTATTTTGCTATTCCCATATACCAGTTCAGTTTGGCCTGAATATTTTTTTTCCATCTTAAAATTTTACCCTTGGTTCTTCTTAGCATATGTCTGGTAACTTTGAGTCATTTTGCTTTGAGGAACTTCTGGTTTCTTCTACTTTCTTCTTGCTTTTATTTTGATTTCACTAGTCAGAAAAATGCTTCAACATATAATTGCATATGATTGCTTCCCATGTCCCCAGCAGGGAAAAGAAACCCTTAAAACTGCAGTCTTCTGATCTCGTCTAATWTATTATTGTTTCAATTATGTGAATTGCTTAGGCTACTGAAGCAGGGGGAAGTCATTTTTGTCCTTTCTGTGAAGGGCAAATAGTATTAGGTTGCTGCTGCTCCCCAGATGTGTTCAGGCTGGAGGCCAGGGTAATATGCTGAAAACATCATGGAGTGATATTTTTTGTTGATAGTTTTTAGGACTCTCAACTTAAAAATGTATAAGGAAATGTATTGATTCTTTAAAATAAAAAAAAAAAAGTTTCAGATACATAAAGACTTATCCTTTAATCAGTCTCGCTCTTGCACACAGCCTTTCAGAAGGGCTACTTGTTATTCAGATTGTAGTTGGTTAAGCTTCAGTTGTCCTTTGCATGCCCTATGTCAAGAAGCAAATGCTCAGCCCCCAAATCTTAACTTTTTAAAATTTGTATCCTTTGTCGAACTGCTCTATTTATTTGGAATTGTGCTTTGAAATGAATTTTTGGCAACTATATACAATGCATCTGCCTCTCTTTACCTTCATGCAGCTTGGAAGGTGTAGGATGCTTAACAAAGACTTTGGTCTGAATATCTCACTTCCCAAATTTGCCACCGTTAAGTGTTGCTGCAAGTTCACTGCTGATAAACATTCAGCTGAATTTTGCCTTGATAACCATTGATTGTTACATATATTAAGTGTTCCCAACAAGAAACTCTTAGCAAGTTAGGTGAAACGATCAGATCTGAGACATATGTCTACCAAGTACACCTTTCTGTAAGCTCAACTCATAGTTTTAAGTAGAATGACTGAAGTATTTACTCTTTTGCCTTTTTTTTCATCTGCTTCGTGGTATAATTTTTCAGCAGTTGTTCCTTTCCCCACTAGTCTTTCCTGGAGATGCTTCAGGGGAATTGCAGGGATAGTTTACTTGATTTACTTGGAATTTTTATTTATTTATTATTTTTTACAAAGTTCCTTAGAAGTGGTGAAGTTCTAGTTGTAACTTTCTGTGTACTTTCTGTGTACTGTGTACTTTCTGTGTATCATATCTATTACATTTTTGTGTGAAGCTCTTTGATAAATTAAAAATGTTTCCTRAAATGCCCAATCTCAAATGTCAGACTTTATCTCCTCTTTCGAAAAATATACTGAGTGCCTCTGCGTTTGCAACTGCTTCCTAGGAGTTTAATCAAATAGTGACTGTGAAATTAGAAGGTAGAACGTTGCACCAAAGCCTCCGTGTATCTTGCTGTAGCTGCCATTAGTAATTCYAGTGGAGGTGACACAACAGAAAATCTGAAAGCTGCTATGCTGAGACATGCTCATTTTTGTCCCTGCATTCCTCTCTTGGAGGTGGAGGTAGATAGTCTATAATGTCATATATTAGGTCAAACTAACAGAACAAGAGGGAATTAGTTTGCTAGGTACATGGAATATATCTGTAATAGCTGTAGTGATCTATAGGCCATACAGAATTACTTATCTTCTATATCTTAACATTTCTTTACATGACAAAATTAATTAAGTCTTCTTTTATCCTTTTGCTTAGCCTTGAGCCATTAGGTTCTTAATTTCTGTTCCTAAAGTTCTTTTTCTGTGACCTGTACCTAGTATTGAGCTGGAGGACAGGAGAGACGTTGTTAGCAAACACCTGCAGCAGTTAGTAGAGGGACTGGCTAGAAGATGGTTTCTCTGATGAAAGTCAGTTGGACTCCAAAGTTAGTGTGAGCGGACGTATTGATTGTGTTTTAAGTATTAAACTTAGTCTTTCATTTCCTTTTTCTAAAACTTGTGTTACTGAAATGTATAACAGAAAAACTTCTACCCTATGTGTAAAAATACTAAACRGTGTGTGTGTTTGTTCTGCAGAGATCTGCAGCAGAGCATTGCGCGGGAGCCGAGCGCTCCCTCGATYGCGGTGCCTCCGTACCAGGCGGCGCCGGGCGCGGGTGCCAAGCCCGCCGCAGCGCCCACGCCGGCGCCCAGGACCATGGTGGTAAATACGAGCTGCGGGGCCGCCGGGCGCGGGCACGTCCTCTCTGCTGCAGCGTTTGCATCGAGTTCTAGCTTGTGTATATCGCTCCTTAGCGTAATGCTGGGTTTAGGAARGTGTTTAAGTGAAACGGAGGGTGAAGCTCAAAACCGTTGCCTGGGGATGTGTCATACAGTGTGGATAACTCCACAGTGTAAGTTCATAGCTTGGAGATTTGAAAAGGAAGACTTGCTGCATTCTAGTGAGCTTGGGTTAGCGTATGCATGTAAACACAGAAGCTCTGCAGAAGCTCTCGCCTAATTTGTCTTCTCTTCCTAGGGGACTAAACCACAGCCACCAGCACGGCCACCACCGCCTGTGATTTCTGCAGCCAGCAGCCCCTCCTCTGCACCGGCAGCCCCTGCCGCTGCTCCTGCCGCTCCAGTGGCTCCAGTTGCTCCGGCTGCCCCGGCAGCCAGCGCGCCCGCCGCAGGCCCGGCGCCCTCGCAGCCCCAGGGCCCTCCCTACCCCACCTACCCCGGCTACCCAGGGTGAGCCGCGCGAGCACCCTGTACCCGCGGGGCGTCTCCTAGTGCAGGGGCGCGCCCTGTGTGGCGTGTGACGTATTTAAGTGGGTTATTGTAACAGTCGTGGATGTGTTCTGGGCTCTCGAGGCATGGTGGTTTTTCAGTTTTAGCCACCTAAGTCCTGTTGGGCCATTTGTGTTTTTTAAGGGGGAAGGAGAAGGGACTACAGTTCTTCTAGCCTTGATTTATAGACTGTTGGCAGTCCTTGCATAGCCATTTGGCATTGCTTATCTGATGTATGTTGCTCTATGTCATTTTCCAAATCTTCCTATGATGTTAGAGGCAAGGAAAAACACAAAAAGCTTCCACTTGAGCAGCTTACCTCTTTTTCCCCATCTTTCCCGAATGATCACAAGGAGCTGGAAGCAGCTGCTGTCTCTCTCAGCAGCAGGCTCAAAAGCTGATAATATGCACAGTAATTCTAAACATAGGGGAACTGTTCCAGTCCTTCTAGTTCCAGCTAGTTGCTCTCCTATACCCTCTGTCTGCATGTCCATGCAGTATAGCATTTTTCCTCGTTGATCTGTGAAAGTTAGCACATTTTTTATAATGTGGTCATTATGTGTCTTTTTGTGTCTATTAATGAATTATCTGTTTTTGCAAATAATTAACATCAGTGTTTGGGTACTAATTTTTTTTTTTTTTTAATTCATGCAGGTATTGCCAGATGCCAATGCCAATGGGCTATAATCCATACATGTATAACCAGTATAGTCTGCCATATACACCTTCACCAGTGTATCAAACCCCAGGACAACCTCCATACCCAGGACCTCAACAACCTGGATACCCTTTTCCTCAACAGCCTTATTATCCCCAGCAATAGTGTGTTTGCAAACAAACTTGGCTTGTTAAAAATTGGGAAAAAATTGCAATAAGCATACTAGAACTTTAGCTCCAGTTAATGTATCATACTGAACTGTTTGCAGTCCTTAACTCCTGTCTATTGTTAACTGCTCAAAAATGCTTAGATCAGCTTTTGATTACACTACAAACTTTGGAGGATCTACTGCAGCAGTGCAGACTTAGAGTCAAAATTAGAGCCTAAGTCAGTGGTCTCAAACTGTACACTGTCTTTTGACTAGACCAAAATATTTCTTTGCAGAAATCCTATAAATAACTTTTGGGATCTGATAAGAAAAGCTGAACTGGTGCGTGCACTGGGTGTGATATATTCTATGAAACTATATATCATTTCCTTCTATATTTTATCTTTTTTTTTTCTCCTGAGGTTAGTTAAGATATGCTATTTTGTCTAATAATCAACGCCTTGTAAATCATAAGTAAAAAAATAAATTACATATAAGAACACTTTAAACACCTTGCATTCTCATTTGCCATGAGATTTTTTTTTGTCTTTTTTTACCTTTTTCTGTTGACTTGCAGTTGGCCGTAACATATATGTAATTTCTCAAACGCTTAACCTTACGACTGAATTTTCATGTCTTTCCTTCAAACCTGGTGTGATTGTGACAGAGTTTGTATTTGTGACAGAGTTTGTAATAAGCCTTTTAAATATTGCTAGATGAGGTTGTCTTGTGGGTAGAGTTGTCTTGTAACTTTGAAGTGTATTGGACTAAAAGATTTTCATTACTCTTTTTAATGAACAGTTTAAACTCCAGAATACTGCTTAAAGACAAGATCAAGCCATTTACTGTGTGTTCTCATGGGACCAGTGACTGGTAGATATAACTTGTTTTTTTCCTGGAGAAAACAAAAAAAGCTTAGAAAATCTGTAATTGTTCAAAATAGGGAAACTAGTGATTGCTGGATCTTTTCAGATTGTTTTTAAATGATTCATTTTCCCTCGAAATGAGCTCAAAACATAATACATTCCCCTCAGGGACCTTCTTACCAGTGAAGGTTTTTGGTTTGTTTGTTTTTGGTGGAAAAAAAGATCATCTTGTAACTTAAATGTTGGAGATTTACTTTTAGATCCATCTTCTCAAGCAATGAGTAACCTTGCACTATATTTTTTATTAGATAGTGAAGAAGGCAAGCTTGTGGCTAATAGCTTCAACCAAATATTTGCTAAACATCTTTCTGTCATTTTTCTACATGTTTGTCTAGTGAAGGACTCTGTATTCCTTTAGCCCTTTACATGACTTATCTGGTTCTGTAGAGTAGGTTCCTTTGTGCTCCCAGTTGTTCTACACAAGATATTCTGGTCTTACAGAATAGCCATCAAAATGTGTGTGTTAAATGCCATTTTTTTCCCCTTCTCTGTGTAAGTGCCTGATCAAGATAACAAGATATATTTTAATATAGGGGTTTAGAGGGTGGCAGTTACTGTAGCATCTGAGTGGAAAATTCACTGGATCTTGTTAGGCTTTTCCACTTCAAGCGAGCAGCATGTGTATCTGTATGAGCTCCTTCTTTTGATCTCATTTTCTCATTGCTCTAAGCCATCACTCCTATGACTTTGTGAAGACTACCTTTTGTCAAGTACTTCTCCAGCCCTGGAGATAATACAGATAAAAATGGTGAAAAGCAAGTGACACTGATGATAGAAACATAAAATGTCAAAGTCCAGTTCCAAGCATATCTTTTAACTCTGCAGAAGCTTGGTGATGTGGATACAGGATGAAATAGAGGAACGTAGATAGAACAGTGCTCRAGGATTAGGTGCCTTGCATTTCTTTATAAACATGTCTAAATGGGAAGGGACAGGAACCCTTTCCCCTATTTTTCCCTAATAATGATAATATATGTAACAAGCAAGGACAATGAACACAAGTTAGATAGTTGTTTTGAACCATGAATCYGAACATGATCTTCCTCTTAACTGGAAAAACAGGAGACTTCCAACTAACTCTGTTGCTTCAATGTGAGCAAGTGCTAATGCAGTCTCCTAAATTCTAATTTTTGCTACCTTAGGGCCTTTATGTTTTGGGGTATATTATGTTGGCAAGTTTGAGTCTAGGCTCAGTCTATAAAACTTGTTTAAATGCGGCATAAAAATGTAACTTGTTCAGCATAAAAATTACTGGAATTGAAAATTCCTATTAAAATTTCATAGATCTGAAATAGTGGTTTAAAGTATTTTGCAGTTACATTACTGCTTATTTTACTATTTGAATGTGTATAGAAATCTGTGTATTACATCCAGCTTTCTCATGACTTTTTTTGACTTCTTTTCTAAAAAAGAGAACAGAAAAATCCAGAGATATGTTTGTATCTACATTTAAGCATGAAGCTGTCATGACTTCGGTTGAAATGTTAACCTGTTCTTCTATAGTTTATTAAAAAAATCAGTTAGAAAACCTGATTCCATGACTTCTCTCTTCAGTACTGTGGCCTCAGACAAGGGCTGCTTTGGATGGAAAYGTGTTACGGACCCCCCCAAGTAAGTTGCTCTGTGGTGAATGCACTTAGTGTACCCGCTACCATGAGGCTGTACAGATGCAGTTGCTTCACTGTACAGCTGCTGCCCTCTAACAGCAGCCACATTTATATTCTGGTAGTTGTATATATGCTCTGACTTAGTGGAGGGCATTTTTCTTAGATTATACAAGGGGAAATAGTGATGTCCTTCTGCCTGCGTAAGTTTTGTGTTGGAGTTTAATGTCACAAACTTCTTAGGCTGGTTTTCATGTGACTAACAGCACCACAGTTAAGCTGGGCAAGGGGGTAAGGGCACTGAAAACTTGCCACAGAGGATAAAGGGGGCCTGAGAGCACCCTGAAGAGTTGATTTTTCAAGAGACTAGATACTACAGCATTTATTGCACTTAGTCCAGGGACAGAAGTCTGCTTTGACGTCCATGCTGAGGCTTAAATGTTTAGTTTTGCCTTTTTTTTTTTTTTTTCCAACTTTCATGAAACAAACTCTTATGAAACCAACTATTACAGATTATGAGAAATAGATGGTAGTTCAGAAACCCTGAACTCTTCAAGGACAATAGGTCTTTCCTCAGTTCAATTTCTTTCCATTTTTTATTTATAAATGGGGCTCCAGATAATGTGAAAAGTTATCTCTTCTGAGCACCATTTTTTTTACCAATTTTATCCATTGCTAGCTAATGAAGTTTCATTCCCAAAATAGGTTATAAAAACTCTTCCGATCAGCATAATTTTGTCCAAATTGTGCAGATAAGTACTCTGTTAGTTTTTCCAAGTATGTTGAGGCAGTATTTGGACCTGTACTTTCTGAAACAATTTCATCAATTGCTAGTTAGTTGGAAAAAGTACCCAGATTCTTTAAAAAAGAACAACAAAAACAAAAGCACTTTCCATTAGTTGAATGAGGTGCTTGTGCATGGCTTTTTGTGCATGTCCCATTCTAAATTGACTTGAATTTCAGAGCATAGCATGTTTCTGTTACCTTGGTACATCACTAAACTAGGCTAGGCAGAGTGGTTGCCATTTTAAATTCTGGCTGTATAACACTATTGAATAAGACTATCTAAATTTTTGAGGCCTCTTTAGTTAATATTTTAAAAATTGTGGGTTTTGCAAAATTATTACTGCAAAGTAATCCAAAACTGCTTATTTATRTAGTGCATATGGGGAAAAATTCAGTGTAGCTAGGGCTTTTTATTGTCATTTCAGCTGGCTGCCAGATTTCTGGAATTATCATGACTCTTGGATTAATTTATGCTCCTGTTTTATTATTTAAAAATGGCATCATTTTCATAACAGTTGTAACAGTTTTAACCCTGCWAAATTTCTGATTTTATTTAAATATTTTAAAAATCCATTCTGGATGCTTTGTCTCATGTATTCTGTTAAAATAGCTGGAATCTGCTTTATATTCAGGTCCATGTTCTGTTTGGGACTCATATTTTGAACCATCACGACCTTCATTGGCAAGAGTTTGACTTGTGTTAATTCTAATCTTGACTTTGATTTTGCATCCAGTTCCCTTGTGTTATTAAAATTTACTGACCAAAATAACTGTATTTCAGTGGTTTTGTTCTACCATTAAGTTACCTGATGGCTGTGATGGTAGGCATGAAAAGCAAATCATGATTTTTAAAAGAATAAAGTTTTTTTTTTTTTTTTTCCCCGAACTCTATGGAGGAATCTGTCCCCCAATTTAAGTTAACTGGGTTGTAAAGAAAAAAAAAATCAGCTCTCAAGTCTGAAAGGGTTGACCAATATTTGTCAAAGCAGAACCAAGTCATCACAAATTAATTACTAGTATTTTTTTTAGTTCTTCCATGTAAATCAGGTTATGTCTGTACATGGTAGTTTATGGCTGCCTTTGTATTTCTAAATTAACAGTATTCCCGGATGCTGGAACAAAACTCTCCACGCTAGTAAGCTGCCAGAGCATTTGCTGGCTTGAATTTGCCCTGTTGCAACTCACGTTTTTCCAAAACAACTCATCTGTGTGGCTGGGTAGTTAGGGAAGTCTCGGGGTCTTCTGCAGCAGCCATTTTCTGCACAGCTGTGGAAGAATTGCTTCAAAAGAAAAGCTCGGGCCTAGGAGAGGCGTTGGCATTAGAGAAGCTCGGGCAATGGGGGCGATGCACCATGGCCACTTCCAGGAGGGCCAGTTCGCAGGGGCTCTGCTCCCCCACGTTCCTGGGCAGCACAACCTGCCGTCCGTGCCACAGGGAGGAGAAGCRGAGCGTGGAGCGGAGCGAAGGCCCCGCAGCCAAACTGCCGCCCGCYCCGTGCGGGGCCACGGATGAACCGCCCCGGGGAGGCCCTGTGTCTGGTGCTGAGCCAGCAAGGGCGGCAAATCGCTCCTTTCAGATGAAGTTTGCTTGAACTCTGCTCATTATAAGCTCATTATAATGTCAGTGCACGCCTCTGTCCCAAAAGTTACCCGCCTCCAAGGTCCACTCCTCACTGAGCATGTGCTCTAGATTTTCAGTTGACTCGAAAGACTTTTTAATCAATAACAAAAGTAAGTATGACTACACTCACTAGAGCACCACCTAAATGTAAAAATATTTTTATATAATTTTTATATATATATATATACACACACATATATGTATAAAATATATAAAAAAGTGAACTAAAGAAGGAAGAAGTTAGAAGGAAGACTCCACTGTACCTTTTGCGATCAGGTGGCTGCCTGAACCCCTTTCCTCCCCTCAGGTCAGGATGCCACCTGAGGAGACCCCTCAAGACTTGGAGGCTTCTCCCATTGCCTCTGGCATGAGTGACAATTGCGTGTTTCTACATTAGAGCTAACGGAAACCCCACCCTGTAACAGGATTTCCTGTACTGACATGTGAAACCTGCTTTCTAAACGTTGTTTTTGAATAAATCGGGCTATTTGTGAGCTCAGCTACTTATTTTGAAGGTTGACGGAGTGTTGGTGAGTACAGTGTTGGCAGAGTTGGGCCTATACTTACCAAAATATTTGGTAKCCCTATTGAGACATGTGCAGCTGCCCCCAGTCCCTCTAACCTCRGAGGATCAGCTGGAACACAAGTGGATTCATCTCTTACAAATTAGCACCCCTCCCTGCTTTCCCCCCTTCCAACCCCAACAACAGCCACACTTTTTGGAGGACCTGCCTACCTAAGCGTATGTGCAGGCCCTCGCAAGCTATGTCTATCCTAAGCCTTGTTACAGGTAGTGACCAGATTACTCTAAAGCTGGTCATTGACTTGTGGAAAAAGTAATCACATATTCATATAGAAAATGTTAACCATATATGAACTGCACTATAATTTTTTCACTTGCTCACCTTTTTAGTAACTATTTATGTGTATACTTATTTTCCTTTCAATGCCCCTTGGAATAGCAGAGCAGGTGGAGCATCTGCCAGAACACTAGCAGGTCTTTTATGGGACTTCCCTAACATCACTCTAGCACTATTTTGTGACCCAGTTATTTGAACTAAAATTATGCTGATCTTGACACACTGAGGGTGTTTTCTGTTGTTGTTTTTGTTTGTTTTTCGTTGAATTTATATATACTCAGGGTGGGAGGGAAGGAGAAAAAAGTCAGAGTTGGTTCATAAACCATRGAAGAAGTGATTTTCCTAGCCCAAGGCTGTCAGCTAAACAGGCCTCCAAGATCTGGCAGGTCCAGATTCAGATTCCCCCTCCTGCCTCTAGGGGATTAGGTCTCACTCCCCTTACTTGTCACCTTGCCATGAGGTGACTGTAGGGTGGATGTCATCCTCATCAGCCATAACTCAGTCCTGGCTTGTGTAACACCYGTTGAAATAGCAGCATAGGCCAACGTATGTGGAGTGCCCTGTGCTATAGAGTAGTACCTTCCGTAGCATGTTTGTTTATTTTCAGTTAAAGCAAAACCATCTCTGCTGGACAGATGAAGAACTTGCAGCAGGCCACACTGATGCTGTGGTCAAAGCGTTTCTCTTGGAAGTAGATGTCTGTGAAGAGTTAAATGTAGTTTCAAACTTGGTGTTTGGCCCCTTGTCTGTCAGTTACAAAGTGAAGTGTTACTGTAACAATGCAATGAGAGGGATGCATTTTTTTTTTTTTTTTTTGAATAAGTGATATTCATTATATTTGATTGGAAACATTTAAGTRTGTCCACCTACTTCTTGAGTAGTGCGGTGCTGTTAAGTGCACACTGCTGCCTGCTGTGGCTCCGGGGGAAGCCCACCGTAAAAGCTCCCTCAGGCAAAGCTGGTAGCCATACTTCTTGTTAAAGCTTAAGGATTTCTTTAGTAAGTCCCATTTTCACAGCTTGTTTGAAGGATGTATTGACGTAAGGTATGGCTGGACCTGTTCTCCAGCCTCGTGGCCAACTGGCATGCTCTCTCAACTGCCAAAACTGAGCAGCCACTTCTTAGCTGCCTCCTAGGAATAACCTGGGAATTCAAGTTTAGCTCTTGAAATCCATTGGTATAGCTCTTGAAATTCAAGCTATACTTCTCATCTCCTACCTGAGGCTTTTAACRTGAGTCTAGCAAAGGAAGAATCCCCTGGGTTTGTTATTGACCACAGTTATCTCTGCAGAGCTAAAACCATGTGGCAAAAGGGGAGGAAATGAGAGTTGTGCTTGTCTTAGTAGCATGATACAGGTTTTACTAATGCCAACTTTTGTTGAGCACTTGCTTTGAATACAATTAGCCTGTATATAGACCAGTACAGTGTTAACAGTTTGGCTGTCCGCCTGCCTGCATTTCAGTGTGTGATGATGAGGAAACGGAATATAGAGAGGGAAAAGTGCTGTGTAAAGGTAAGGGCTGGGTCACCTGAGAGCTACCAATGCTGTCTCCCATGTGGAATGTGCCTACAGATGGTTGCAGCTCTTCTAGTACTCTGTCTCGTGTTTCCTACTAAAGATTTTGAAGTCTCCTTATTCTCAAACCTTGTTGGACATCCTGATTTTTTTTTCTTTTTAAACTAACAGAGTTCTCTTGCTAAAAGAATGTGAAGGGAACACAAATGGGGACGGATCTTGGAGGCGATGCTATGTGCTGAGTCTGCAGCAGAGGGCAGTCTGGAACCGCTTAACAGAAAAATATTCTCTATTGCTAACAGACCCTTTTGGTGTGACTGGTTGTGAAGAGATTTATGTGCTTGTGTTGGTGGCAGGAGAGGCTAGTGACCTCTAATTAGGCAGTGCYAAGTTCAAGTGAATGTAGATTTCAGGGAAGCTTGACTCATGGCCTGGGACCTGAGATGTAGAAGCAGTGTAGCACAGAAACGATTGGTGAACCTTAAACTGGGCATAACAAGGGATGGTGGTCCGTGGGCTAGGAGAGGGAATGGTTTGCAAAGTAATGATACGATAGTTAGGGTTGGATGGGATCTCCYATGGTCATCAGGTCCATCATCCCACTCACAGCAGGTTCAGCTCTGAGATCGGACCAGGCTGTTTAGTGCTTTACCTAGTCTGGCTGTGAAAACCAGCAAGGATGGGGATTGCTAAAACCTCTGCAGGCAGCCTGCTCCAAAASCTGACACGGTGAAACCTGACAGTCTTCATGGTGAGAAAGGTTTTCATGGGGCTGTGCCCTGCGTGGATCACTTTCAGACCAAGGAACCCAGCCGTTTCACACTCCATCACCAACATCCTGGGCTACATTTGAAYGAAGATACCATTTCTAGCAGTTGAGGATTGCCCTGCAGGATACATGTCACTGGAAGGTTAGAGYGCAGCCATGGAAGTAACCCCTCCATCAGGGGAAAAAATGAAGAGGGGAATGTGTTAAAGTGATCAGAGGGCCGGGGCAAGTGGCAGGAGGAAATGGCATGAAAGCTGGGGGACAGCAGAGTGTTACAGGGGCCTATCAACGAATCTTAAAAGAGGAGGAAGCGTGAAAGAAGGGCCCCAGGCTCTGGGCAGAAACAAGTCMTAAGAGAGAACATTTAGCATGGCACAAGGAAAACAGAGCTTGAGTTCACAGGGCTTAAGAATCAACTGAAACCGTGGAAAGAGTTCAGGAGTACCGAGAGTATCAAGAAAAAAAAAAAAAAAAGAAAAAAAAAAGGAAAGAGATGGAGTTTCAGCTATTGTAGCAGTTCAAGAACTGGATTTTAAAGGTAAAGAACTATTTTTTTGTCCTCCTCCTTTGCAGGAAGAAGTAAGGATAAAGAAATGAAGTGAG